AATAAGCAAGAATACTTCTGGACGATGCTTAGTACAGATACAAATATTCAGATAAAGGTAGATATTGAAAAAATGAAAGTGGAGTAGGCAGAACAGCACATCTTGTTTTTGCATAAAAAATTAAAAGTCCAAAAAGATTCACTTGAAGTGTTTCTAAATGCATGTATAAGATGATGAAGAACAGATATTTCAAATTCCAGGAATTAAAATAGTATTATGATGGATGATCATGTTTTCCTGAAAGTATGCAAATGAATGAACGTTAACTGTGAAATCATTTCAAGAAACATTCACTTCAAAATCATCGGGTATCAAAATGTAGATTTCATTATAAAAATGGGGAAGACAAATTCATGTTGATCTATTTTTAAAGTTTGGAAGTTTTTGTAAATGACCGCTAGTTGCGCATCCTAACCTCAACAGTAACGTCTTTTTATGCAGAGGTGTATTATCATTTAAAATGTATTAACATAAGATGTTTTGATTTTCCATATTCTGTACCATTTAAGGACGGGAAAAAGTTGAATTTCAAAAATGTTTCGATTATCGTGGTTTCATTTCAAACATTCAAATTTGAAAAACTGACGCGCGGATGCTTAACTCTTATCGGTCTCTTTGAGACGTTTGATGGCGTTATACGGAGTTGTTTTTTTTGTTTTCTAGAGGTTACCAAATGCAGTATGGTATTTATACCTATGTAATTTTTATTATTCGAAAAATACGTGAAAACTCCTACAAAAACTAGTGTAAACTGTTGTTCATTTTACGAATAAAAATAGTATCACACCAACATTTCCTGGCTTTACCGTATTCTGGAAAGCTGTGTTTGTATTTTGCATTATCTTCCCCAGAGCCAGAAGTAATGGCAAATAAATAAATGTTAATTCAAAATCTTTTTTTCCAATTTTAAGCCAGATGTTAGTATCAATTTTGGGTTATTCAGGTTGCCTTTGTATTATTTTCTAGCTCCATCTGTATAAGAAAGCACAGTGCACATTCAAACAACAACTTATTTTGTTTGTTCCAGACGTAAAGACTTCAGTTTGCTGATGTAAGTTTTTTTTGTGTCATTGGTGAAGGTGCAATCTTTCGCAGACTTGCAGATAATTTAAATAGATAATACTGATGTAATCGTGAGTTTCATATCACAAATCTCTACTGTGCGCTCCTCGATGCCGTGTTGTAGGGAATTCTTGAGACGAGGGCCTAGAATAACTGTTACTCATTATCTTGCCCGTGATGACAGCTGTTTTCTGTTCTGGGGGCTTTCAGGGATTCTCGATCTTCCAACCTACGTGGATCGAGTGAATGAAACTTGTACACTTACTCAGGCCCTAGGTGATTTTTGGTCACTGAATATATCCTAATAAATAAATAATTGCCGAGTGTCGTTGTAATTCAGCGTTTTTCGGCTTTTTAGCACTGCTTGTCCGTTAGTGCATTATTAGAAAGTGAGCCTGAACGTAGTTAATTAAAAATTCAGACATTCGGACACAAAAATAAGAAAAAACTTTCACCTTTAACGCTGCGAGCGAATTTGATGAAAATACTCAAAATCAGATAATAGGGGTTTCATTAGATTGAAGGAAGCATCATATTTATCTAACCGTAAGAGTGTTCAAATCCAGCACTCTTCATCTATCAGCCATAAACATATACAGGGTGTTCCTTAATGATATGCGAATATTTAAGGGTGTGAATCTACATGAAAAATGAATGTTAGTTTGCTTTATAAACTATGGTCCAAAAATGTTTCCTTACAAAAACTCCGGGTGTTGAAGTTTAGGAAAAAAATGGAAATTAATTAATATTTTCAGAACCGCTTCAGATATTTCGCTGATATTTAGTACGTAGTGAAAGTTAATAAAGTTGTATATTTTTCAACGAAAAATAATTTTTAGCTTTAACAGTGGCGTGCGTACGGGTATTGACTTCGATATTTTTTAAGAAAAAAAAAAAAAACGGTACGCCAATAATTTTTTACTAAATAAAAATTATTTTTGAATTTCCCGTTCAATTCAAAACAAATGATCTATCTTGAATTGTTTTCTTTCGATGCGCAATTTTTGAGTAAAAAATAAAAATCGTTCTATTGTCTAACTTGCAAAATTATTATTAATTTACAAATTGGAAAAATTAATCACATTAGGGATAATGAGCAACAACAACAACTGACAACATATACATAACATTAAAACCAACGAACTGATTAAAAAAATTGTTGAAAACGGCCCCGTTAACTTAGCATGCATGCTTCTCATGGTATTGCGTACTCGTTGAAATATCCCTGAAGTGTTTTTTATTCTATCACGAGCTGCAACTATTCTTTCTCTTAATTCCTCTACAGTGTTAATGGGACTTGTGTAGACTAGTGTCTTAAGATAGGCCCACAAAAAGAAATCTAAACTGTTGAGGTCTGGGGACCTTGGAGGCCATTCTTGAGGCCCACCGCGGCCAATCCAATGATTTGGATGAACAGTTTGTAAATGATTATTGTGGAAATTCTGAATGGCATTTCGAGAAAAATTAGCTTCTTTGAACAGAATCATTGATCCAAATTTCGGATTTTGTGTAATTTTTTGAAGATACCACTGACAGAAGGTCACACGCCTTGGAAAATCAATGGGAAGCAATGCCTGTACTCTTAAAATATGGTAAGGATATAACAAAAAATCCACTAAAATTCTTCCAAACAATTTGATGGCAAATATTTAAGTGTCTAGCGATCTTCCCCGTACCCGTTTCAGGATGTACTTCGACTTCGTGCAGCACTGGCTTCCTCAATTTCAGGTGTCCTCACTTAAAGGTATACCTTCAGATGTTCCTTTTCGGATAGAACCAGTTTCAACAAGACGACGATGAATATTAGAAAAGGTTCGACTATTTGGCAAAGCACGATCGGGATATCTCTGGTGATAAATCCGTCTGGCTTGCTCACCAATACCATCGGCAAGGCCACGTATTGCATTTCTGCATTTGAATAATTCACCATTATTAACAAGATTGTAAAAACTAAATAATGAAAAAGATGTTGCAGCGAACAGATTTGAATAGAGACCTGTCAGATGTCAAAAGCGAGTGACATATTCCAGAGCAACTAGATATTTATTGCTAACTTGCATTCTTCAATTATTACATTAATTTTCTCGGACAATAGGGCGGTTTTTATTTTTTTACTCAAAAATGGAACATCAAAGGTAAACAATTCAGGAGAGATCATTTGTTTTAAATTGAACGGGGAATTCAAAAATAATTTTTATTTGGCATAATGCCATTGGCGTACTATTTTTTTCTTAAAAAATATCGAAGTCAATACCCGTACGCACGCCACTGTTAAAGCTAAAAATTATTTTTGCATTGAAAAATATGCAACTTTATTAACTTTCACTACGTACTAAATATCAGCGAAATATCTGAAGCGGTTCTGAAAATATTAGTTAATTTCCATTTTTTTCCTAAAACTTCAACACCCCAAGTTTTTGTAAGGAAACATTTTTGAACCATACTTTATAAAGCAAACTAACATTAATTTTTCATCACACCCTTAGATATTCGCATATCATTAAGGAACACCCTGTATACTACATATTTTTGACACTTTTTATTTGTAACATAGCTTGATGGTATTGTCTTAGTTAAGCCATGTACAGAGTATTTGCCAAACATGGGCAAAAATTCACTGGGTGACTCTTTGGTTTATTGTGAAACTATTGTATTTGATCCTCTCGATTTGCGAAACACATTTTGATTAGAGAGAAACAGGCCCCTGAAGGAGACATGGTTGGAAATAGGTTTTTCTTAAATAATTGTCACATATCGTCGCTTAAGTTTCAACATCACGTAACTCAAAAAATGGCGCCACCAAGATTGCGTGTCATTCCTTAAAAAACTCAAAGATCCGCCATTTTTTGAATCTTTTCTAAGAATTTGAGTTACTCTGTGTTAGAGCTTAGGCGACGATATAATCCAACGAAAACTTTGTGTGATAATGACTTAAAAATAATATTTTCGGAAATTGGAACGTTCCTCGATAGTGGTGACATCTACCTTCAAGAAATTTATTCATGTTTGATTTCGATAATATCAAGTGGTTGCGAACCTGTATGACAAAAGATCGCCTAACTGGACTGGCACTTTCATATGCCCATAAAGATGTACACGTCGATACGGAAGAAGTCATAAATCGATTTGCAAGAAGACAAAAAAGAATTAATTTTGTTGTTTGACAATATCAATTAGATTTATTGCTTAAATCATTTTTAGGATACACCGTATGAGTACACGGGTTAGGCGCCTGAAATAGCATGTGCGTAGCAACCGATTTTTGCTCTACTTATGCGATATTGCATTACTAGCAGAAATCTGAATTCCCTTTTGGCAAAGATGGTAAGCAAATGTAAAAGACAAAGATACGGTTTATCTTTTTTTCCTGACAGAGCTAAGTTCATGAGTTCGCATGTTTTCGTTTTAATGTGATTTTATAATGACGAGGAATGCACTAAGTACTACTTTTTTATCAAAAAGTCGGGTACCGAGTGCCCTGACATTTAGGGTTCTGCCTGCGCGGCTGCTTCGGTGTAAAAAATATTAAATAACTATAGCATAGTTTTTTACGAAGAAACGAGTAGTGGTAACACCCCGTATAAGCTAAGCAAATAACGTAAACACCATGGCTTAACGGAGAAGACGCTGTAACTGTAACCTTAGCTATAATGTTGATGATGCGATAATTTCTCGAAGAACATCAGCAAGGTATGAAAAAAGTATATATGCCCAGGCTTTGCACATCGCATCTTGCAAGCAGCACGTTGTACCTTCCATCGAGATCGAGAGATTTAATACTCAGCGAAACCGAGTACGCTATAAAATACGCCGGGTAGGCCGACTACCGGGTACAAACCGAGTAATTTGTGATTACCTAATAATGACTATCGATCCCTATCGATATTGAGCTGACAGGTCTACACAAGGATGAATTAGGTGACACGAAAAAACAATAATTATTTCAAAATATAATTTATTCATCACTAAAAAATAGGCTCAATGTGTTTTGGAAAACTTTTTCACATAGTTCATCTGGATCTTCATTCCGGATGGCCGAGACAATATCCAAAACATGCCTGAAAAGAAGATACGTATGCTCAAAGTTACGAAATTGTACACAATTTTCAGTTATATTCGAATCTCACTATATTTTACCTAACACAAGCTAACCATATACTATGCTGGATCTTCTCGCAAAAACTCCACAATTTTACCATCTTTCAAATCAATTTTCGATATATTGGTGCTGCATTTAAGATATGACAGAAATACTAAAAATATTCATAAGTTCATGTGAGGTGAAATTGTATAGTATAATTTTGAATCAAGCTACAATATACTGAAGTAGCAACGATTCACCCCATTACCTACCTTATGTTGCATGGTTCATTCCTGCTCTTAACCATGTGGTCTGGTTTCCATTTTTCTTTCTTCACACTCGGAAAATCCAAATTTTCCCTTTGAATGTACTTATATCCTGCATGTGTCGGTCGAATCTCACACCAAGGGCAGTCAGTCTCAAACAAAATCTTTTCCGCTGGTAGGGCTTTTACTACTTCTAAGTTCTCTTCAGTCTTTAGGGAACTGAAAAAGGATAGATGTAAGTAAATTGATGCTCATACAACAATAATATATGAGATAATTTAGTAAATGATGGCACAAGCATAAGTCTTGAGATGCTTCTTTATAGAGACGTATGTTGAAGTTGTATATTTATGTCACAGAGAAAATTGCATATCAATAGAGTGGGTAATGGTATTGACTCTTAGTGCTATAAATTTCATATTTACCATCCATTCAATCCAATATAATATCCTAAGTCAATAAACTTGTTAGCTTCTTCAGAAGTTCCATCAAAACTATGCACAACTCCTTCCAGCCCACTGTGTTTTGACAGAATATTGTACAGATCATCAGCCGCATTTCGACAATGCAGAAAAAGTGGCAATTTAAAATATTCGGTCAACTTCAACTGGTATTCAAAGTATCTACAACAAATTTCCATTACATAAAAAGAAATATAAATGCTATTCAAACCTCATTTACTCTGCGTCAATTAAGGCACTAGTTTTTTTTTGACACAGCTTAAATGCAGTTTGAACAAGCTATACTCAATACACCCAATACTTTTTCTGAACATCCTTTGAACAGAATTGTGTTCTGTCATAATCTAAACCACATTCCCCAATAGCCACCACTTTGTCTTGCTTTGAAAGTATTGTATCCTTTAATTTTTGTAAGTAATCTTCAGGATTTGTGCCATTTTCTTCAAACTCTCCACATCTTGTTGGGTGGCAACCTACTGTAGCATACAACCTGTCTGAAATAAAAGACATAAGTGATAAGTATATTTTTGCCCTTACCTAAATTGCCTTTTGTTCCAACAATGAAACAGTGTATGTAACATCTGAAACTGTTTCTGTGGTTGTCTCTATGATTAATCTCTATACATCACTGGCAGCCAGATAAAACTGCAACTGAAAGATTTTTCAACGATTCGGCCACGACGGTGGCCTTTTTCAATCTTGCATCTGTGGTTGCATAGCAATGTATGTATGTGCAAAAATCCAACATTGGATGAGGCACATAGAATTTGTTGACAATAAATATAGCACCTCATCTATTTAAAAGACAGAATTATGAATACATTGTTTGTATTCTAGAAGGTACTATCATCCAACATACCAAAATAAAATAGTTATGAAAATAACTAAGAGAGTTTATGATTCCCTAATCAAAGCAAAAATCAAATAATACCCTGATCCTTTCAGTAAATGAAGTGTCATTGAGCTTTTGTTTCTTATGAAGTTTGAATTTTTCTCTTTTACACTCTAATGATCTCTAAGCACAGCTTCTTCAAATCTCTCAGAGAGTTGATTACCATTCTTTCAGTCAGCAAGCATGATCTATTGCTTGGATAATATTTCACTAATTTTTTAAAACAAATACTGATCAAAGTCCTTTTCGGCTTTTAAAATTGATACTATCATGTTTTTCAGATTACTAACCCATTTCAAAATATGTGTACCACAGCCATCACATTTTATTCCAGGTTTCTACCATGATTTGAGTACCTACCATCCATATTAGTTAATTCTACGCTTTTTCTACTTTCTTCTAAATTTCCACCAGTTATGATCATTTTGCATAAGCCTGCAGCCCAGCTTCTCTGTAATATTTGCTGTAAATCAGATTCATGTTTCTTACTGCCATTGTATATCCCTAAATACATGGCATCAGTAAGATTTGCTCCAATGTCTGAAAATAATAAGATTGTCTATGGTTGTGTTATTGTAGGGGAATATGTTTTAAAAAGTAATCTTGCAGTGAAGAGATCATTCAGATGCATATAAGTAAATAAACATAGCCAATTGGTTTATTTAATTTTTTGCTATTGTTACCATTCTCGTAATATTATTTTCTGTTCCTATGTATGTTTTTGTTGGACACCCTATTCACAAAAATGTTTTCAAACTATTGATATATATTTGCTAATTCTATAATACTGCAATGAGAAGTACTTATATTTTAGATCCCCCGTAACACAGAGATATATTGGACATAGTTAATCTCAATAATGATTCTGCAATTATTATCTTGCAGCATGTATACTTTTACCAATCCCTAGATTTTAGTAGCATCACTCTGTGTAATTTAAGGTAATTTAAGCTAGGTGTTGTATAAACAGTTGCCTGTCATTGGTAATAATAAATCGGCTTGATATTCGGATTATGCATCTTTCTTCCACAAAAACATTACCTATAAATTTTCTCATAGTGCAACTTTAATTTTTAGTCAAAATCTGCACATCTGCACTGAAAATAATGTTTTGAAGGACTCCAAGTCCAAGTAGTAGATAAAACGATATGCACGGGGATACGTCAAACCTCACCGTCGTCAAACTCTATAACACAAATCCATCATCAGTGTTGCCGAACCGAAAAAGACAAAATCTGTAGACAGTTTCGAAATTCAGTAGATTCATCAACAAAATCGGTTGGTGGAAAAAATCAGTGCCGTCACACGATCAGCGATGAGTCAAGGGACTCTGCGTCTTGCAGCGATCTCTTTGGGAAAAGGCATATTTTTGTATTACATAGGTATATTTTGGTATGTGCGTACCTAATTGTAGGCAACCCAAATCTACGTCCCTGGTGTGCCCGACTGCCTTAAACGTACGTTATGTATGGCGTATGGGGCACAAAACTACATAGAATCCATTTTTTCAGTTCACTTTTGGTTGTAGCTCTTTTTCGGTAAAAAATCTGGAAAATGAATTCTTTTAAAAATCCTGAAAAATGATTTTTTCGGTAGAAATACCGAGAAATCCGTAGGCTCGGCAACACTGTCCATCGTTGCCTGATCACATTCCACCCAACAGAATCGGACTTAGGTTCTGAATACTGCAAATATTTTAATTGCAAATATTATTGGATTCGTTTTTATGCAATGCGAATTCACAGATATTTCCAGCCGATAAATTCATCGTTATCAATACTCTAAATCTGTTAAAATTTTGTTACTTTTCTGTTAAACGCCATTTGTCAAGTATACAGGAGGTCCGAAAATTATTATTATAAAGTAGCTATACTACAACTATTTAAAACTGTAATGACTCATACGCGTGATCAACACGTGATCAGAGCTCGATCCCGGTTTCCTTCCAGTACAGCCGTATAGCGTACGACATATGTCGTTTCTGTGACTTTGCGGTGGTCAACAGCACAGACAGAGATGGAAATAATGGCTGATTGTTCTCCGCCGGTAGAACCAATGAAATCAAAGACGCGCCTCGACCGGCAGACTCATAGGCGCCGGCAACGCATTGGAACGTGTTTCGTTGAGCGATCGCATATTGTGTGTTTTTATAAGAATTGTTGTGTGATTGTTATTGTTGTGGTTTCTGTGGTTACTGTTTTGGTTATACTTAACCATGGAGAGTACAAATGGCACGAGTGGAAGTACTGAAAGCCAGGGAACAAGTAGACGGCTTCGTAAAGCACTGAAGAGGGACGCGAAAGAAATCGTGCTCAACGTGTTCAATTATCTGAACAGAACTATGTCGCAGGGAGATGCACTCGCGCGTTGTGAAAGTATGACAGGCGTTCCAGAGTGGACCATTCGCAGGGTGGTGCATGGAAAGAAGAAAACTGGAGCTACTACTGATCCAAAGTTTAATTTGAAGGGACGAAAGGCCGTTAAATTGGATGACGATAGCAAAATGGCTTTAAGGAGCAACCGTACATTCATTCTTCTTTAGGAATGAGATACCAGCCCTCAAGGCTGTACATGCAGCGATCAAGGAAAATGAAATTATACCCCAAATGAGCATCGAGGTAATGAGGAAATCCCTGCACGAAATTAATTTTCATTACGAAACGCGTAATCGGAAGTCAGTATTGATAGAGAGACCTGAAATAGTCGCCTGGCGTCGAAAATACCTACGGGAAATGATTGAATATAGGCGACAAAGCAGAAAAATCTATTATTTGGACGAGACATGGGTAAATGCAGGTCACACAGTTAAAAAAACCTGGATAGACAAAAACGTAGTGAGTAACCGACAAGCAAGCATTGAAGGTTTCTCAATAGGTCTTCGTGGACCGTCAGGGAAAGGTCAAAGATTGATCGTGATTCATATTGGTAGCGATAGTGGCTTTTTAGAAGAGTGTGACTTGATTTTCGTCTCTAAGAAAGGAGGTGATTACCATGACGAAATGAATGCCAGCTGCTTCGAGAGCTGGTTTCAAGGGGTGCTTCAGCGAGTTGAGCCCAACTCTGTGATCGTCATGGATAATGCTTCCTACCATAGTCGTCGAGCCGAACGTGTACCGACTATGGGATCTCTGGTTGCGCGAAAAAGGAATCCCGTTTGACGATTCATGTGTGAAAGCGGAATTGTATGAAAAAATTAAACAGCACAAACCTGCGAACATTAGTTACGTGACTGATGAGATGGCCCGTCAATGTGGTGTCACTGTGCTGCGGTTACCGCCCTACCACTGTGAACTGAACCCAATAGAGCTCATCTGGGCTCAAGTGAAGGGTTATATTGCGCGCCATAACACAACCTTCAAATTACCAGACGTTAAGGTTTTACTTGAGACTTCCATACAGCTAGTAACGCCCGAAGCTTGGCAGAATGCTATCCGTCATGTTGTGAAGGAAGAAACAAAAATGTGGCAGCTTGACCACCACATCGACACCATCATAGAGCCAGTTATAGTCAATTTCAACGAGGAAAGCGATAGCGACAGTTTATTACTGTCAGATGTAAGTGGAAGCGATGATGAATAAAGGTAATTCCCAAATTTTTGACTTACAATATGTTTCAAACCACTCTTTATTAAGCATGTGACAAATCTAGTTCACCCATGTTAAACATCGATGAGTCATTACAGTTTTAGATAGTTATAGTATAGATAATGAGTGCATTCAGGAAACCAGTCATTTTGATACTAAATGAGATTTGAAATCAGATTGAGGATACACATTCAATTGAATTTCCTTTATTGAAACTTCTGAAACTCTGATCCATTTCCCAGATATTGACAAGGAATAAAACTGATAATGATAAAAACCACATGAATGATGATCGCCATGCCTTAAGTGTCATTTCGACTGCCACGAAGCGTTATCTAAAATTAAAAAACATAATCTGTATACATTTTGTAATTTTTATATACTATGAAAACAATCTGATACACATTATTTTCATCAGTTTACTGGCATTGAATCCAATGTGTAGGGATTACATACAGTAAAGAAACACTATATTTCATACAAAACAAAATTTATTCAAGAAATTCACATATTCCTTTTTACACCAGACACATAAGTTTCCCTATTTGACGGTGGACATTTTCATAAATCATTTTCAACCTCCCAAAACATTACCTTTACTCCATGTAAAGAAATGCTAGGTTTCAGCACTTTATTTCAATATCTCACACATGCGTGGATATTCTACAGCAAACAAAAGGAAAAGTGAAACAAAAATTGAATACAAAATGAAATATTTATTGGGTTTTGTAATCTTAACAAGCACTGGCAAGCTTTAAATTGACATAACAATGTTTTCTTTCAACAGCGATATAAAACCCATCTACCGTAAAAATTAAAGCACAGAATATATAAAAGTTTATTGCGATGTGTTACCGTTGCGTATATAAAAAAATATGTCATTAATAACCAATTAATAAAATATCACAATGTTAGAACGTTACTTAACAGTCTAAAAATGATCTTACACAATAGGAATGATAATGATCTTATTTCCCTATTACGGGCATATAGAACTTATGAGACTTTGTGTCCCTTGTATGCTTGAAAGGACCCTTTGGAGCATCTACTAAGACTGCTGGACATGGACCGATATTTCTTGGTGAATATTCTTTCTTGTACGAAGTAACGATATGTAGATTGCTGTCACCAAGAGTTATATTGGACACGTTGGACCTCCTAGATACTCTCTCCACCTTTTGAACGTTTTGCTGTTTGGTGAATTCTCCATATCTGCTCTGAGACTCGCTATAGAAATGTCCTCCAACTGACAGGTTGTCACGCCTCACTATCTTTTGCGGCCTTTCTTGAGTCTGGTAATTGATTTGGTGAGCACTTCTCCTGTTGCTCTGTTGTTGCTCTTGGTTTGAGCGATGCATTGAACTTAAACTATGCCTTTCCGTGTTTACTGTAGTTCTACCTTGGTCATGGATGTTGCAAACCGACTTCCTCATGTCCAAAGCTGAAGAGCTAGTTGCGTGGAGAGCTTCTGTTGAAGTATGGATACCTTTTCTGTGCAAGATCTGATTGCTAATATCTTCATTGCTGATCATATCTCTCTTATGGTGCGTATGCTTTTCTAGATTTTGTTGAGAGTTTGTGCTTGTGTCTCGATGAATGATGTTGTTTTCTCGAACGACATTCCTGTTGTTTACTACTTGTTGTGCTTGGTGCGATTGATGGACGTGCGTTTGTGAGGATGATTTTTTGATTTCATTGGCACTAGATACCGTTTCTTTATGAACTACTCTTTGTGCCGCGTGTTGATCCACTTGCCTGCTTTCTTGGGCTCCCGTTGTTCTGGTTGTCTTCTTCACTGTAGTGACAACCGTGCCATCAGACAAAGTTTTTGTGTCCTGTGAAACATCTGTGGAAGTTTTGCTGACACGACTCGAGTCTTTTCTGTCGGCGACATTTGTTTTCTTGTCAATCACGTTCACACTCGTATCAACTATATTTGTAGTATGTTTGTCGACAACGTTAACTTCTTTCTTGTCAACGACTTTGCGGTCTACTTTGCGGGTATAAGTATTGTAATTCGTCTGATTGGTAGTCTGCATGTTGGTTGTGTCGTTCCCTAGCGAAATGTGCGATTCCATGTGTCGCTGTCTGGTGATCATGTCAGCAACATGTCCATCAGTGGAAGGAACCACCTCCTTAGGAGTCTTTTCAAATGTTTCTTTCGTTGTAGTGATAACCTCCATCTTGCCTTCTCCAACTCTCAAGTGATCTTCATGACGTTTAATTTCGGCTCTTTCGCCTCTAACAACCGTATATTGAGACCTGGCTATAGATTTATCATGGAATTCACCCTCTGGTTTTAGATTGTCTTGAGGCTTCTTAGGAGTAGGTCTCTCCGCTGGCTGGTACTTAGGCTTTGTTGGAGTTTGGAATTCTCCTTCAGGCTTCAAATTATCTTGAGGTTTCATAGGGATGGCTCTTTCAGCCGGTTGGTAACCCGTTTTATGAGGCCTGTCGAAAACTCCTTCTGGTTTCAAATGGTCATGGTGACGTATTGGGGACCTTCTTTCACCTGGACCTACCGGTGTCTTTGTAGGCTTTTCAAATTCACCCTCTGGACGTAAGTTATCCTGGTGACGTATTGGTGAGGGTCTTTCAACCGGCTGGTACTTCGGCTTTGATGGAGTTTGGAACTCACCCTCTGGTCTCAAGTTATCATGTGGTTTTTTAGGAGTTGGTCTCTCAGCTGGTTGGTAACCTGGCTTATGAGGTCTGTCAAAGTCTCCTTCAGGGTGTAAGTTATCAGGATGCTTGATGGGACTTCTACGTTCTCCAGGTCCTATAGGTGTCTTGGTGGGTGTTTCGAACTCTCCTTCTGGACGTAAGTTATCTTGGTGACGAATTGGAGAAGGCCTTTCACCAGACTGGTACTTCGGTTTGCTTGGTGTTTGGAATTCACCTTCAGGCCGCAAGTTGTCATGCGGTTTTTTAGGAGTTGGCCTCTCAGCAGGTCTGTAACCTGGTTTCTGAGGTCTGTCGAAGTCTCCTTCAGGGTGTAAATTATCTGGATGTCTAATAGGAGTCCTGCGCTCCCCTGGACCGACTGGAGTCTTGGTTGGAGTTTCGAACTTACCCTCTGGGTGTAAGTTATCGTGAGGTCGAATTGGAGTCGGTCTCTCAGCTGGTTGATACTTCGGTTTTGTCGGTGTCTGGAATTCACCCTCCGGCCTCAAATTATCTTGTGGCTTCTTAACTGTTGGTCTTTCCGCTGGTCGGTAACCAGGCTTCTCATAACGTTCGAATTCTCCTTCTGGATGCAGATTGTCGTCGTGTTTGATAAGCTTTCTTCTCTCAGCAGGACCTACTTTGGTAGGCGTAGGTCTTTCAAATTCTCCTTCGAGCTTTAGATTGTCCTCATGAATAACAACTTCTGTTCTTTCAGTTTTGGTTACAAATTCATCCCTCTTTCTGTACTGATTGAATTCACCCTCCATCCTGAGATTATCTTGACGTTTGACCACATCACATCTCTCGCCTCGTACCACAGTGTAATCATCCCTGGAACGGATATCAGTGAATTCACCTTCAACTCGCAAATTGTCTTCGTGCTTGATAACTTGAGCTTTATCAACAACAGTAGTTTTGGTGTAGTCGTCTCTACGACGTATATCCAATTCACCTTCCATCTTTATGTTGTCCTGTCTTTTGATAACTTCGGCTCTATCTATAACTGTGGTTGTGGCGTAGTCATCTCTACGTCTGATATCCCATTCACCCTCCATTTTCAGGTTATCTTCGTGCCTGATGATATCGACCCTTTCTCCCCGAACAACATTGTAATCGTCTTTCCTAATTACTTCCATACTACCTTCAGGTTTCAGATTATCGTCGTGTTTGATTGGCTTTCTTATCTCTGCAGGACCAACTTCTTTGATTTCTGGCCTTTCAAATTCTCCTTCAGGCTTCAAATTATCACCATGTTTGATCGGAGATCTTCGCTCACCAGGACCAACCTTTGTTAGCGTTGGCCTTTCAAATTCTCCTTCTGGACGTAAATTGTCTCCAGGTTTCATTGGTTTGGGTCTTTCTGCAGGAATGTATTTAGGTTTGGTCGGTGTTTCAAATTCACCTTCAGGTCTGAGGTTATCTTCAGGTCGTTTTTGTTTTGGCCTCTCAGCTGGAGTCCATCCTGGTTTCTCAGGCACTTGGAATTCTCCTTCAGGTTTAAGATTATCATAATGTTTGATCGGAGATCTGCGTTCGGCAGGACCAACTTTGGTTGTTGTTGGGCGTTCAAATTCGCCTTCAGGCCTCAGATTATCTTCAGGGCGTTTCTGTTTTGGCCTTTCAGCTGGAGTCCATCTTGGTTTTTCTGGTACTTCGAATTCGCCTTCCGGACGAAGGTTATCATCGGGACGTTTCTGCTGACGTCTTTCACCTGGAGTCCATCCGGGTTTTTCTGGCACCTGGAATTCACCCTCAGGTCGAAGGTTATCTTCTGGACGTTTCTGCTGAGGTCTTTCAGCAGGAGTCCAGCCCGGCTTCTCAGGCACTTGGAATTCTCCTTCTGGTCTAAGATTGTCATCGTGTTTTATTGGAGACCTTCGTTCAGCAGGACCAACTTTGGTGGGTGCAGGTCGTTCGAAATCACCTTCGGGTCTGAGGTTATCCTCAGGTCGTTTTTGTTTTGGCCTCTCAGCTGGAGTCCATCCTGGTTTCTCAGGCACTTCAAAATCACCCTCAGGTCGAAGGTTGTCTTCAGGACGTTTTGGTTGAGGTCTTTCAGCAGGAGTCCAACCCGGCTTCTCAGGCACTTGGAATTCGCCTTCTGGTCTAAGATTGTCATCGTGTTTTATAGGAGACCTACGTTCAGCAGGACCGATTTTGGTGGGTGCAGGTCGTTCGAAATCACCTTCAGGTCTGAGGTTATCCTCAGGTCGTTTCTGTTTTGGCCTCTCAGCTGGAGTCCAACCTGGTTTCTCTGGCACTTCAAAATCACCCTCAGGTCGAAGGTTGTCTTCAGGACGTTTTGGTTGAGGTCTTTCAGCAGGAGTCCAACCCGGCTTCTCAGGCACTTGGAATTTTCCTTCTGGTCTAAGATTGTCATCGTGTTTTATTGGAGACCTTCGTTCAGCAGGACCAACTTTGGTGGGTGCAGGTCGTTCGAAATCACCTTCAGGTCTGAGGTTATCCTCAGGTCGTTTTTGTTTTGGCCTCTCAGCTGGAGTCCATCCTGGTTTCTCAGGCACTTCAAAATCACCCTCAGGTCGAAGATTGTCTTCAGGCCGTTTTGGTTGAGGTCTTTCAGCAGGAGTCCAACCCGGCTTCTCAGGCACTTGAAATTCGCCTTCTGGTCTAAGATTGTCATCGTGTTTTATAGGAGACCTACGTTCAGCAGGACCGATTTTGGTGGGTGCAGGTCGTTCGAAATCACCTTCAGGTCTGAGATTATCCTCAGGTCGTTTCTGTTTTGGCCTCTCAGCTGGAGTCCAACCTGGTTTCTCTGGGACTTCAAAATCACCCTCAGGTCTAAGGTTGTCTTCAGGACGTTTTGGTTGAGGTCTTTCAGCAGGAGTCCAGCCAGGCTTCTCAGGCACTTGGAATTCTCCTTCTGGTCTAAGATTGTCATCGTGTTTTATAGGAGACCTACGTTCAGCAGGACCGACTTTGGTGGGTGCAGGTCGTTCGAAATCACCTTCAGGCTTGAGGTTATCCTCAGGTCGTTTTTGTTTTGGCCTCTCAGCTGGAGTCCATCCAGGCTTCTCAGGCACTTGGAATTCTCCTTCTGGTCTAAGATTGTCATCGTGCTTTATAGGAGACCTACGTTCAGCAGGACCGACTTTGGTGGGTGCAGGTCGTTCGAAATCACCTTCAGGTCTGAGGTTATCCTCAGGTCGTTTCTGTTTTGGCCTCTCAGCTGGAGTCCATCCTGGTTTCTCTGGAACTTCAAAATCACCCTCAGGTCGAAGGTTGTCTTGAGGAAGTTTTGGTTGTGGTCTTTCAGCAGGAGTCCAACCCGGCTTCTCAGGCACTTGGAATTCGCCTTCTGGTCTAAGATTGTCATCGTGTTTTATAGGAGACCTACGTTCAGCAGGACCGACTTTGGTGGGCGCAGGTCGTTCGAAATCACCTTCAGGTCTGAGGTTATCCTCAGGTCGTTTCTGTTTTGGTCTCTCAGCTGGAGTCCATCCAGGTTTCTCAGGCACTTGGAATTCGCCTTCTGGTCTAAGATTGTCATCGTGTTTTATAGGAGACCTACGTTCAGCAGGACCGACTTTGGTGGGTGCAGGTCGTTCGAAATCACCTTCAGGTCTGAGGTTATCCTCAGGTCGTTTCTGTTTTGGCCTCTCAGCTGGAGTCCATCCTGGTTTCTCTGGAACTTCAAAATCACCCTCAGGTCGAAGGTTGTCTTGAGGAAGTTTTGGTTGTGGTCTTTCAGCAGGAGTCCAACCTGGCTTCTCTGGCACTTGGAATTCTCCTTCAGGTTTAAGATTGTCATGATGTTTGATCGGTGATCTGCGCTCGGCAGGACCAACTTTGGTTGGCGTTGGGCGCTCAAATTCCCCTTCAGGTCTTAAATTATCTTCAGGACGTTTCTGTTGAGGTCTTTCAGCCGGAGTCCAGCTCGGCTTCTCTGGTGCTTCAAATTCTCCTTCAGGTTTAAGATTGTCATGATGCTTTATTGGAGACCTACGCTCCGCAGGACCAATTTTAGTTGGCGTCGGTCGTTCAAATTCTCCTTCAGGCCTAAGATTGTCTTCGGGCCGTTTTTGTTTAGGTCTTTCAGCTGGCGTCCAACCTGGTTTTTCTGGTATTTCAAAATCACCTTCTGGTCGAAGATTATCTTCAGGACGTTTCTGTTGGGGTCTTTCGGCTGGAGTCCAATCTGGCTTATCTGGTACTTCGAATTTTCCTTCTGGCCGAAGATTATCTTCTGGCTTCTTTTGTTTAGGACGTTCTGCTGCCTTGTATTTTGGTTTCTCCGGTCTCTCAAAATCGCCTTCTGGCCTAAGGTTGTCATCGTGTTTAATGGGACTCCTTCTTTCAGCAGGACCGACTTTCGTTGGCGTTGGTCTTTCAAATTCACCTTCCGGATGAAGGTTATCTTCAGGTCTCTTTTGCTTTGGACGTTCTGCTGGTCTGTATTGTGGTTTTTCTGGAACCTCAATTTTTCCTTCTGGATGCAAATTATCCTCAGGTTTCTTTTGTTTTGGACGCTCGGTGGGTTTATATTGTGGTTTCTCTGGTCTTTGGAAGTCTCCCTCTGGCCTAAGATTGTCCTCGGGACGTTTTTGTTTCGGTCTCTCTGCTGGGCTCCATTCAGGTTTCTCTGGAACCTGGAACTCCCCTTCTGGATGCAGATTATCCTGAGGTCGTTTAGGAGTTGGTCTCTCAGCAGGTCTGTATTTAGGCTTCTCAGGTCTTTCGAAGTCTCCTTCTGGTCTAAGATTGTCATCATGCCTGATTGGACTCCTCCTTTCTGCAGGACAAATCTTTGTTGGCGTTGGTCTCTCAAACTCACCCTCGGGTCGAAGATTATCCTCCGGTCTTTTTTGTTTGGGACGTTCTGCTGATCTATATTGAGGTTTCTCGGGAACTTCAAATTCTCCTTCTGGATGTAAGTTGTCCTCCGGTTTTATAGGTGACGGTCTCTCTGCGGGCCTGTACCTAGGTTTCTCGGGTCTTTGGAAATCACCTTCGGGCCTGAGATTATCTTCAGGTCTTTTTTGTTTTGGTCTTTCAGCTGGACTCCATTCGGGCTTTTCTGGAACTTGGAATTCTCCTTCTGGATGTAAATTATCATAAGGTCTTTTAGGAGTTGGTCTCTCAACAGCTCTATATTTGGGCTTCTCAGGTCTTTCGAAATCCCCTTCTGGCCTAAGATTATCGTCATGTTTGATGGGACTCCTTCTTTCTGCAGGACCAATCTTTGTTGGTGATGGCCTCTCGAACTCACCCTCAGGGCGAAGGTTATCCTCGGGTCTCTTTTGCTTCGGACGTTCTGCTGGTCTATATTGAGGTTTTTCTGGAACTTCAAATTCTCCCTCTGGATGCAAATTATCTTCAGGTTTCTTCGCAACTGGTCTCTCCCCAGGGCGGTATTTATGTTTTTCAGGTCTCTGGAAATCACCTTCCGGCCTCAAATTGTCCTCAGGACGTTTTTGTTTCGGCCTCTCCGCTGGACTCCATTTAGGTTTCTCAGGAATCTCAAACTCGCCCTCAGGATGAAGGTTGTCTTCAGGCTTTTTCTGCACAGGTCTTTCAACAGGTTTGTACTTTGGTTTCTCCGGACGGTCGAATTCACCTTCAGGTTTCAAATTATCAACAGGTCTTTTCTGTTTAGGGCGTTCTGCAGGCACAAACTTTTCAGGTGTCCGTTTCTCAAAATCGCCTTCTAGTTTCAAGTTGTCCTTATGTATAACAACAGTTTGCCGATAGTCCGTAGTGTCAAACGTTTTGTAAACATCTTGTGTCGTGGTTGTGACCTCAGACTTCTCAGTAGAGTAGAATTTCTCAAAATCATCCTTGGTCCATGTCCTGCGCCTTCTTTCAACCACCGGAGTCTTTTCATTGTATTCAACTGTCGTAGACGTATCAAAAGTCATGTCTCCTTCAACGCGAAGGTTGTCTTTGCGTTTCTTTACCACAGTTCGTTCAACAGAGGTAGTATAGTCAACGAATTCCGATTTAGAAGTGGTGTCATCTATAAATTCGCCTTCTACCTTGGTGAAGGTGTTTCTGCGTATAGGGCTTGGTCTAGGCACTAGCTCACCCGTGAAGTCAATCTTGTTTGTGGTTACGTCTAAAAAATGAGAATAGATTAGTTGTTGAAACTAAAGGAGATTTCGTGAAAGAGGTTAATGTGAAGTAAAACTGTTGTATAATTACCTGTGAACTCTCCCTCAATGACGATATTGTCTTCTCGGATGATAACATCGGCCCTCTCACCACGACAGACCTTGTAGTCTTCGGTAACGGTTCTTACCCCTGTAAAGTCTCCCTCTGGTTTCAAATTATCCTGTGGCCTTTTAGCTACAGGCCTTTCTGCAGGTTGGTATTTGGGTTTTTCTGGTGTTTGGAATTCACCTTCAGGTTTCAAGTTGTCCGTAGGTTTCTTCTGCTTTGGCCTTTCGCCAGGAGACCAAGTTGGCTTTTCAGGACGTTGGAAGTCACCTTCAGGTCTCAAGTTATCTTCAGGTTTCTTAGGCGTTGGACGTTCAGCAGGCCTCCACTGTTCCCGTTCAGGTTTCTGGAACTCGCCTTCAGGTCTTAGGTTATCCTCAGGTTTCTTGGGCACTGGACGTTCAGCAGGTCTCCACTGTTCTGGTTTAGGTTTTTCGAACTCGCCTTCAGGTCGGAGGTTATCTTCGGGCTTTTTCTGTTTTGGTCTTTCTGCTGGTCGATAGCCAGGCTTCTCTGGACGTTCAAAGTCTCCCTCAGGTCTCAAGTTATCCTCAGGTTTCTTAGGAGTTGGACGCTCTGCCGGCCTCCATTGTTCTGGTTCAGGTTTTTCGAATTCGCCTTCAGGCCGGAGGTTATCCTCGGGCTTTTTCTGTTTTGGTCTTTCTGCTGGTCGATAGCCAGGCTTCTCTGGACGTTCAAAGTCTCCCTCGGGTCTCAAGTTATCTTCAGGTTTCTTAGGAGTCGGACGCTCTGCTGGTCTCCATTGTTCTTGTTTAGGTTTTTCGAACTCGCCTTCAGGTCGGAGGTTATCCTCAGGTTTTTTTTGTTTTGGACGCTCAGCAGGTCTCCACTGTTCTGGTCTAGGTTTCTCGAACTCGCCTTCAGGCCTTAAATTATCCTCAGGTTTCTTAGGTGTTGCGCGTTCAGCCGGTCTCCACTGTTCTGGTTTAGGTTTTTCGAACTCCCCTTCGGGTCTAAGGTTATCTTCCGGCTTTTTTGGTTTTGGCCTTTCTGCAGGTTTCCATTCCTCCGGTTTTGGTTTTTCAAATTCGCCCTCAGGATAAAGATTGTCTTGTGGTTTCTTCTGTTTTGGTCTTTCGGCAGGTTGGTAACCAGATTTTTCCGGACGGACAAAATCACCTGCAAAAAGAAGACTGCTATATTGAACGAATAACGGGATACGAAAAATGAAAGGCTCAGGTTATCTAGTCGACGTATTTGAAGAAAGTGAATATTGTTTCCACGAAATATCTCAATATAGGATGAGAAATACCTGTATATTTCGTGTTCTGTTTCTGATAGGATATCTTATGGTGCAACTGTCAAATCAGCATTTCGGGTTATTATGAATGCATCAATTATTTCTTTGAACTGAATCACTATCTTATAGTTCTTAAATTTTGTAATATAAATTGTTAGACTGGATTAACCACAGACTTTTCTAGCAAATTATAAAGAAAAACTCTTACCGAAATTCGAGATCATTTACTTACAGTCTAAACGAGAAGAACTTTAAAAGCACGATATCATGGAATATACCGCTATTACGTGCGAACCGACCTAGGTTGTGAATAATACAACTGAATTCATGATGTTATAACGTTCACCTTCAAACTGATCTCTTACCAAGATACTAAGAGTCTTAAACCTACTTTATCGATCAGTTAGATGCACTTCAGATAAAATAAAAATTAATCCATATCCACAAAAAAAGGCGTCATGTAGGTTGACTCCGCACTTCCCACGCAACGCTGTCTTCAGTACATAAAGGATTATGTTACACACAACTTAGCCCTTCTGAGAAAAAAGCTACAAAAATGTATTTTATAAAGTTGCGATATAGTTATTTTATCCTAGTAACGGTCAGAACTCGAAGCGAGATGCGGGTATATCCAGAGACACGGGAATTGAGAATATATCTCTATCATTCTAAGTGCAAATGTATGGGAAAATCTATATTGTTGTTGGAAGCGTTTAGATATGCTAACGCCACCTTTTACAATTGCCAATTTTTAATCCACACAAACATTTTTGTAAAAATGATAACTAGCCTCTGAAACTTCAAAAATAAAATAGTGAAGTCAAGGATTAGCGTATAGACAGACAGACGTAGAGATATTTCGCACTTACTGGAGTGCTCAAAAATTGAAGTAAGACCTCTTAGCACTGGGAATTAGCAACATGTTTAGTAATTACCTTCTGGTCTCAAATTATCTTGCGGCTTGTGCACAGCAGGCCTCTCGCCAGGTTTCCACTCTTCAGGTTTCGGTTTCTCAAACTCGCCTTCAGGCCTAAGGTTATCCTGTGGTTTCTTCACAGGCGCCCTCTCACCAGGCCTCCAAGGTTCTGGTTCGCGCTTGGTGAACTCTCCTTCAGGCTTCAGGTGGTCCTCAGGCTTCTTCACAGGGTACCTCTGGCCTCTGGTGGCGCTGTAGTCATCCTTGGGTTTGCCCAGGAACGGACCTTCTGGATGCAAGTGGTCGTTGTAGGCGTCTGCATTGTGCGGGCAGCTGTGGCGACTGGAATTTAAGAAGAGTGAGAAATTAGATTTAAATCAGTCACTGCGTAGTGGTTTTGCGCTACCAATACTGATCTCTCACCATATACTCGTAGGTAATATCAGCCTAATTTGCTGATATACGAAGGTTACTGTTTCAACTTCGTATTGGATTGAACAAAAAACTCAATTCACCGAAACATATCTCCATTAATGGTATCAAAGTAACATCCGTTTTGATTTTTACAGAGGACACATATTGTATTATTGATAATGTCAGACTTTTGATTGGAAAATTTCCCGTATTTATGTTATTTTCACACAGTATTAAATTTGATACAACGTAAACAGATGAAATAAAATGCGATCCACACTGGAGAAACCGCTTTTATAAAACGTGAAATTGAAGCTTCTTGCAACAGGGAGATAAAATAACGATGAACTACCTTTACGAGTCAAGGGTTTTTCTTTTGATCTGTCAGTTTCTCACAGCTGATGAACTACCTTTACGAGTCAAGGGTTTTTCTTTTGATCTGTCAGTTTCTCACAGATGATAGAGAAAAAATGAATGCAAGACGGTTCTGAAATTCTGAAGACATCCTCAACTTTGTTAGGATCAGGCTAAGGTCATGCGCAGAGTTAAAGTGCTGTGTTGCCGGTCTCTGATCAGTGGGCGAACTCAATACTTCCGTTACTTCTACAGTTGGCGATTGATGGAAAAGAATTAACTGTGGGCATGTTCAAATACAACCACTTCCTTGAAGCAGACTCACAGTACGGGTTTTTTCTTATGTGTATCGCCCGTTAAACATTATGACTCCTTATTCAAACCGTATTCACGCTGGATCAAATTATGGAAACCTCCATCGTATGGCCTCCCAGAAAAAACTTTGCGGATGGGTGGATGACTTCCTCATTGACCCGTCATAATTGACAAGTTCTCCTCTCCATACCACAATGCCAACGCGGCTGTTCCCTAGGGATCATATCAATAACCTCATTTCAAGTACGCTGAATCCGATCCACAGCTATGTCAATGACAGCACATTAAATGCAGGAATTGAGAGTGACAGGCCAATCTCTGCCAGTGAGCTGGAAAAAAGAGGACTTGCAGCGACTTTAGATATAGATTTAGATACGGTTTCATCGTCGGGTTACGGCCAATGTGTTCATCAAAGCCTACTGAAGCATAATATGGCAACCTGATAGAAACAATACATCGGCCTTTGATATATCGGTAACGGCCGATTTTTCACTGGTATCTGCAAATTACTGCGAACATGGTGCGTCAAGATTTATACAATGAATCTCCCAAAAAAGTAGTGAACTCTAGCTCGATAAGGAGATAAGGGTTGCTGAAGTTGAATTCTTGCCTGAAGTTATGGTAACCGCTCTAGTGTTTCTACTGTCTACTGGGTCAGATTGACCCAACAGATAGTTAAAATCGGACATAATGACAAACGATTACATGATACAAAAGGTTCGAATAAAGAATATCCTGCAGTCTTTACATCATCAATCATCATGCAACGCGTTTAGTAGCTCGTGTTAGCAATCAACATCTTTACATACGCGTTTATGGTCATTGTCATTATGGTATTGTTTATCGGACATGACGAATGGCTATAAAAAGAATTGTGTCCAAGAATCGAAGGATCACAGCCGCGTTCTCCTTAATTAAAATAAATACTACGTGTATTAAGATAATACAAATTAAGTTTCTAGGCCAGCGGCAAAGTCGCAGAGGCGGAGCGTCGTTAAAGGGAGGTCCAGATTATATCAAAGGAACGGGTGACCTTTAGAGGCTTGTGTTACAGTGTTTCAAGCAGCGTTTTTGAAGAAGCCAATCTCAGTGGTCGCTGCATTTCAGGATGTCACAAACAATCCAAAAAAATATGTGCTGCCTCAATCGATTTATATTAGTCCTAAATTGTTTTGCCTATGGTTATTCATTTGCATCTGTCAACAACAAGTGCTGTTCTAGACATCATAAATGAAATCAGTACAAATATAGACACCAAGACACATATTATCTGTGTATTCATTGATCTCATGAAATCATTTGACGCAATGATAATAAACTTTTAGAATTTCTAGAAAGGATTGGTTCCAGAGGTACTTCTCACACATTACTCAAAGACTATTTAAAAACAAAAAAAAAACATTAAATACGGTGTTCATGGAGAAACCCTCGCGTCAATATTATTTGTCATATACATCATGTACATTAATGGACAAAAGTATATAGACAAATATGAATATTTACCTAAATATCTTTAGAAAACGAATTCATACTTCATTGCTCCATAAGCAAATGCGTTGTTAATAGAAAAACTAAATTCCTTGTTTTTACATTATCTGCAATGAACACAACACAAGTCTGAATATAAGCACTTTTTTATGAGGGACAAAAATATGTAGACACATTCTCTTCAACATTAGTTTAGTACAGTTTCGTGTCAGAAGAGGATTAGTTTGTGTTCATCAAGTATTGTGGAATAAGTTGAGTGATCTTAAGACCATGCCGCGTGGTCCAGAAATTTCTTTCGATGTGAAAACTAAGATCATTAAGTTATACAAAGATGGTCGACATCAAGTCGACATTGCCAAAAATTTGAAGCTGAAGCGTAAAGCAGGTTGGGCAATATTGAACAAATATAGACAAACAGGTATCTTGGAAGCCTCTAAGAGAAGTGGTCGGCCTAGAAAACTAAATGCTAGATCAGTTAGATTAATAAAAGTAATTTCGTCCAAAGATCCGTTTAAAATCCCAAGACAAATAAAAGCCAAAATCGAGACAAAAGGAATTGCCAGTGTTTCTACGAAAACTATAAGTAGAAGATTAAATGATTTGAAATTATTTGCACGTTACCCGAGTAAGAAGCCGCTAATCTCGAGGAAAAACCATAAGGACCGATTACAATTTGCACGGTTGCATCTTGATTGGAGCATCTGTGACTGGAAGAGGGTATGTTTCAGTGACGAATCCAAGTTCAATATGTTTGGATCAGATGGTGTTCATTACTTTAGATGTCCTAGTGGACAAAGATTGAACCCCAAGTACACTTTGCCCACTGTCAAACATGGAGGCGGGTCTGTTATGGTTTGGGGGTGCTTTTCGGGGTTTGGGATGGGACCTTTACATAGAATAGATGGCATTATGGATAAGTTTGTAAACACAGACATACTAAAGTATGTCATGTTACCCTATATGGAAGACAATATGCCTTTAAGATCAATCTTCCAGCAAGATAATGACCCGAAGCACACTTCAAATCTCGCAAATAAATTTTTTCTGGATGAAAAAATACCAGTTCTCAAATGGCCTTCACAGTCTCCCGATATAAACCCCAATGAAAGTCTATGGGAATACTCAGATAAGCAAATACGAGATAAACATTATTCAAACATTGATGAACTTTTTGCCTCTTTAGAGCAAAAATGGAGACAGATTGATGAATCTTATATCAAGAAACTTCTACAATCTATGCCGAGACGATGCCAGGCGGTGATTGATAATAATGGTTATGCTACAAAATATTAACACAAACATGGTTGGTTTTCTATAATTCAATGAATTTTGCTTCTTTTTTCTATAATTGTTTTGCTTTGTCTATATATTTCCTTCATAGTTCCAGTTTTTTTTCAATTAAATGTTTATTGAAGGAAGTCTAATGAATTTATTTATGTATAAGTGAGTATTATGCGATAACGAATTATGTATACAGGTTGGTGTATTAATAAAACAAGTTAAAAAATAAATACAGCACAATATTCATTTGTCTATATACTTTTGTCCATTACTCTATTTGAATGATCTTTTCGGCATTGAATGTGTCGGCAAAATCGTAAGCATACCCCGAAAACACTGTAAAAGAGGATTTCGTGAAAATTATACAGCGGTCAGTAGATTACTGACTATAAATTATAGCGAGGCTTACTTTACTATATTCACGTCATATACGAAATATTTACTTAATTATACATCGATTGCATTCTCATTCAACAAGGAACCAATTGAAATAAAAAGGTATTCAAGTGTTAAGTATTTAGGAGTATTTGGAGGAAGTTTCATATGATATTCATCAAGTAGGTTAACTCTATGTTTCACGTGAAATGGTTAGGTGCAATTCAAAGACTCATTTCAAGAACCACAAAATGCTGAAAAATTTAATTTTTAGAAAACAATAAAAAGTGTTACAAATAAATGCGTTTTAAAGGAATGTTATAGGCTTGATATATTAGTTAAGTTTTGAAATGTTGAAGTGTACAATAATATTCCCGGTTTATCAATAATAATGAAAACAAATGCGAAGCTGGATAATATTGTTTCAGCAAGAAATAGGATTACTGACATATAATTTAAGTACATACAATAATCTATTATTCATATTTTTTATCGCTTATTACTGAAAAGTGCACTTAAACATTAACTAACATGTCACATATTTCAATTTTGTAGGCGTTATGTATGTTTAATATCTTATTTAAGGTCATTTTCGCTATCGTTTTCATAAAATATGACTAAGTGGTTTTTGAAAGGACTGCTCCCTCCATCTAGTAGTGGTACCATTTAAGAATACGCTGTATTATTTGAAGGGGAATGACTTGCGATTTATACTGGGTCTTTCAAATTCAACCATTGGAATCTCGGAAACGGTAACTCAAGTTGGGGTAAAGTTGCGTATTTAGGTAACAAAATGCCGCTTAGAAAGTTTCAAAATTCAAAGTACTTCTAGAGAGAGATGGAAAAACAGAATTTCTACCTACATGTTTGAAAAAATCTGATGAGTGGTTTTTTAATTGACCGATTCGATGTATAACAAGTTTATATAGATTTTTTTCAACCTCTAACAGATGAGTATTATGAAAATTTGCAGTCATACAGTATTTTTTCATTTCGTACAAATCAACAGGAACAAAATCTAAACCAAATCTTAATTTCAAAACTAGTGTGTTTTGCAGAAAAACAGGATTAAGTTACTCTGTTTTTGTCAAGCCGCGTATAACATTTAAAAATGA